TTTTAAGCAGAATTTCAGCCACAATTCGAGAGGATTCGGGTTTTTGAGAAAGAGAGCGATTCCTAGAGAGAGAAAGTGACGAGCAAGAGTTCCCAAGTGCCCTAGATTGATCTTCAACACCATTGGAGGCCAGCTTGAGCTTGGAGAAGTGCCGATCAACGTCCAGAAGCAGGAATCCATCCTTCGCAGTATGAATTCCGTGTCTGATTCTGCTTTTGCTTTCTTCTCTATGGAGTAGTTCTCCCATTCATCTGGGTATGGAGAACCCTAGATTTGTGTGTTAGGCTTCGATTGTATGAACCCAAGTACTGATTCTGTGATTGATTATATTCGATTGAGGTTTTAATGATTGAATGACTTGAATCCTGATCAAATTCCTGTTGTTTCTGCTTTAACCTAGAATGAGAACATCTGCCTAGGTTAATAGAGTATCCTTGATTGAAGGTAGGGAGTTGGTGACTTTAGTCGAGGAACCAACTCACTATTCTGTACCGGATTTACTCCGGTAGTGGAGGTTTTGTTCTTAGGGCCTCAATCTGTCTACTCCAGTGGAGGTTAGTCGCCCGCTAGAGATTCAGATTGAGAGGGTCTGAAGACCTTTAGTCGAGACTTCAGGCTGTTTAAGAACCTTCCGCAGTATAATCTTCATAGAAACTGAACTTGGTAATTACAATCCGGCTTAACTGCAGTCTAGGGGGAACCATATCCGGGTGACCTCTCTTAACTTGAATACAAGCGTTTACCTGCTTTGCTAGTTTGTTAGTTAGACTTGCATTCCAGTTTCATTGCTAGATAACAAGAATTCACTGAGTAGTCATCAGATCTAGGACCCGGGTTGATAATTAAACCTAAACCCGCTATACTACGCTTTAGGAAGTGGTTACACTTGGCCAATTCCTGGAGTGACAGTAGAGTCGAGTCAGACTCCGGGGCTGGTTTCACCGATTAGATCATGAAACACGCTAAAACACAAGAAATCTAGCGTAAAACCACCCTTTTAGGAGCGAAATTTCCCTAAACGCCTATGGAAAACGAGGGTACAACATGTACAATTAGGCACGAATCACTCCCCAACACTTAGACGTTTGCTTGTCCCCAAGCAAACCATTCTCAACCTAGGTAATATTTCTACCTACAAAGATAGCTAGGGGACATTTCAAAAGGCACAAGGCTGTGAATCTCAAATGACTATTTGGCAATCGACACTCGAACTGTCTCAAACAATTATGGCATCCACCACTAATGACATTCAATTGCATCAAAAATGGGCAAATGAAAAGTTCTCATTCCATCCACAATCAATGCAAGTCTCAACCGGGCAACTAATCAATCACAACCGACCATGCATAGAACTCAAGTCAAAGGAACAGACAATGGGGCAACATGGGTCCTCACCGGAATATATATGAACATGCAAGAACAAAAATGAATTGCTCACTCTCGACCAAAGGGGTCATGGCAATTTGGTTCAAAAGATGTGCACAATCGTCATCACTCATCCCTACCATCTCACCACTACGGCGGCAACCACTAAATGCTAGAGTTCACGGGAAGGTTGTCATCACTAGTTTGTCCGGAAGTGTTAGACACGGGTTCAGACGACTTGCAATTGTCTTGGGCAGGGGGAAAAGGCCTTTTGGGTGGTGGCAAACACAACATGAGGTTCTACATCTTCAAACTAAACCCGAAGGTTCTATGTTTTCGACTAAGAACCTTCTCTACAAACAATGACCACTAGCATCGGCCAAAAGCATTACTTCCCCCTTCCAAACTATCACCCATCATGAACTACATTTAAGCGCTCTTCCTCGGTCTCCTTTCGATTTGGTAGTGAAGGAGTTCTAAAACAATGTGGGGGTCTCATTGGCTTGAGTGCCAAGAAACCCCTCCTAGAGCATACACTTTGATTTTCCGTGGCACTCTCTACTTTATTTACCCCATTTTATTACCTCTTTTTCGTTTCTCTTTTCTTTTCTTTTTCAGTTTTTTTTTCTCTTTTCTTTTCTTTTCTTTTCTTTTCTTTTCTTTTTGAGGGGGTACTAGAGAGTAGGGGTGGGCAACGATTCGATTCACATCGGACTAAATCATACCGAATCGACTCTCACACCGAAGCAGATCGAATTGTTTATCTTTTGATTCGACTTTGGTCCCTGAATTTGGGACATTTTCGATTTTGGTTCGGTTCAGACCAAAACCGTAAAATCAAACTAAGGACTGGACCAAATCGTAATTAAATTAATTGCCTATTTTATTAGGCTATGAGAAGGCAAGTCGACTTTGAGTTGAAAACCTTAGTACCCTACATGACACTTAACTACCTATAAATATGATTGACTTTCTCTGACTTTGACTCACCGCTCCCGCTCCTATAGTCCTAACCTCAAATCAGAGTTCTTATCTGCATTGCTTCGATCAAGAGATTTGCTTACTTTACCTACACACTGTGAACCAGGTATTTATATTGTGTTCTCTTTTCTTGTTTAATGTTTAAGATATGGAGAAAATGTGAATAAATAACACCACAGAGGCTTCTGCCAAGTCTGACAACACCACTGCAAATTAGCAAGTTTAAAAATCATTTGTTTTATTGCACTAGTTCTTGGAGTAAGTGTCATTTTGTTAAACTCCTTTCTAATGAACAGTTGGAATTATGGAGATTGGGAGGTCCATTGTGCACTCTGGAAATGAAAATGGAAGATTAGAGAGGCAATTAGTTAGACTACTTTGATATTGAATAAATAGACTTCTGTCTTTTCGTTAAGTAGTTCTCGTTTAGCTTTTTGCATAATGTTTTGGAACATGTGGGTTTTAAGAATTGTGGAGTATTTATATTTTTTAATTCTTGTGTTGTCATTTAAGAGTGATTTTATTCGAAGGAAAGATTAGTCGGTCAAATGAGATGGTCCAGACTGAATCGAGCCCTATATGGTTTGATCCGGACCGAATCGAAGTAATAACGATTCGACTTTGGTCCTTGATTTAGAAGAAATTTTGGTCCAGTCCGAGGATAGTTTGGTCCGGTCTTGGACCGAATCGACCGATGCCCACCTCTACTAGAGAGTAAACACTTGCCACCTATACATTTAATGACCAATGCTCTCTGTTCAAGAATTCACTCCAACACTACACTTCATTTTGCATTCCTAGCAAGAACTGCACATAATCCTCCTATGTAGAACCTCAATGGAACTCAAAAGTGAAGCTTCGGGATACAAGGACTAATTTCCAAGGGGTCACTATTATACGCCCAAAAACAAAATCGTGCAAATAAGCCTAAAGAGAACAATATTTTAGTCACAAAAAGATTGAGATGTTACAATTGACCCTTTATTGGGTTAGCAACCCTAACTCATTCTAATAAAATAAAAATTATAATTAATATATAAATAGTGCCTGTTTTGCATTAGGGGTCCAGTGGGATACGGGCAGGTCTACCGTATGTCTTTTTATGTTCGGTTCCCGTTTTCCTTGGTTCACTTTTCCTTTTCCGTTTCCCCCTCAGTTATTCCCTTCAATTATTCATTTAGCGATTGGGCAAGCATAGACCCTTCCCACTTCTCCCCTTCCAGAAACAGGAACCCTAATCGATGGACCACGTAACAGATAGATTTGACGGCTGGGTAAGAACTCGGTCTACCGTTTGTTCCCTGCGACCTCTTCCCAATTTCCTGACACTCTTCCCCTGCCTGGCGATTAGCCAAGTTTCCTTCTTTCTCTCTTCTTTCCCGTCAATGGCAGCTAGCTATGATGGAGATGATCTTGATTACGAACAAAGCTTGCTTTTCTGGGTGTCGAGAGTCAACATTCCCAATTATGAATATAAAGCTATCCCTACTGGTAAGATCTAACATTGAAGGAGAAGGTTGCGGGCAAGTGACGATCGAATCGAACTGTCCGCATCTTCTTTGACTTCTCCTCAAGTAACCTCTCACCCACTTAATGTATATACAGTGCTGCACCATTTTCATAGTAGAATCATATGAAAGACAGGGATGGTTAAGAGAAAGATGTGGTGGGTGGTGATTAGAAGCGTAAACGATTGACGAGCGTGGAGGACTTGGCTCTTCTATGATTTCATATCTTATTGAGTTCGTTTATGAACTCTAGATAAGTAGCCAACTACATATATAGTATAGGTGTTGCTGGGCTTTCATATGCTTCTTTTCCCTTTCAAATGCTTTTATATACCACAGAAGATATATGCATGCATGAGTGCCACCTATTGCCATTGAGAACCAAAAGGTACCAAATGACGACTCATAACGGTGGTGGTGGCAACATGATTTACAGAGTTGGAATGAAACTAAGGTAGGGAGTACCACTAAGACATTATTACCCAATCCCCATTCTCCAAGACTTCCTCTCCGTTACTTAGATGCTCCATGATGCTACTTGAAATTGGTTTTTCTTGTAGTTGTTTTCATTTTATACTCTGTTCGCTGCCCTGCTTTATGTTGAACTTGACTTCCTTCTTTTGGGTTTGTTATGAGTAATTAAATCTAACTTCATATAACAAATTGTTGAACAAGCTTTGTGTCATGTTTCAACAATGACCTGGAGAGCTTGCAAAATGGATGGTCCTATAAAGTAGAGTTCACAATGCTTTTTTAGCAGAGGAAGTCATTCTATAGCACTGGCATATTAGCACCAGCATGCAAAAGTCATTAGTATATAAATGGTGATCAACACTTATAGATTAAAGCTTGAGAATTACATTAAATTATAATTTACAACAAGGCATTGTTTTATTTCATGATAAGGGTTTCTATTGATTTTCCTTTTATGTGTAAGAACATATATACAGCTTTTTTGAGTTAGTATCAAGTGAAGCACATGGAAGTTAAATCCTTAAAAAAAAATATCTCTATCCTTACCTCAACTTTTTTTTTTTAGAAATATCCTTACCTCAACCAAACACATAATTGTAACGATATGATCATACATTCTTTGCTTTTAAGAGAATCCATGATACAATTAAAAAAAAGTCTCAATTTAGTAATTGAAACCAACTCAATTTATAAAAATGTCTAATCCACTCTAATCAAATGGTCATATGTAGTCTCATTCGATCTTATATAATTTAATTGATGGTGATGCGTACCCGCCGCAAAGCGCGGGCCAATTATCTGGTATATATAAAATAACGAATTCGGTCAGCAAACATTGGTTAGCTAATAAAGGAAGCTAGAGCAACGTACTGCCGAATGGTGTTGTGTAAAACCTATATACTAATTGCAATTGCGATACGATCGAAAGTGAGGATGAATTGATCAGAGATGGCGTGTGTTCTAAAATCTTTTGCTGTTTGGTAAAGGCGTGCCACCAATGAAATGCATGAAGAGTGAAAGTGCCCTCAATGGTTGATAACTTGGGACTTCATGCCCTGCCCCTCGCACCGTTGCAAATGTTAGCCCTCCTTTGTACGTCTCCGTGTATCCTCCGACCTATATATATATTGACAACCACACGAACAAGAAACAAAGAATCCAGTGAAGGGTTCGAAAAGATGCAGAAAAGCGAAAAAGGACAAGTACTTGTATATATGGAGAATCATATATCAATGACTAATTAATTAAGCAGATAGATAGAGTTTGAAATGTAGTTACCTGTCCAGCAATGTACCAAGGATGGAATTTGGTCTCAATTGTGGGCTTCATAACTTTGATGGAGTACTGCGAGGAAGTAAAGGGCACCCTTCCATCCATGTCACCACTGCGAGGAAGTAAAGGACATATATATATAATCAACATCTACGTTACATACAAGATGCATGCATGGGCACGACATGGATTTAATTTACGTACCTGAAGATCCAGACGGTGACGTTGTTAGCCAACAAGTTGTGGATGTCGCCGAGAACCGAAGTGGAAGCCTCTCTGTACTGAACAACGTCACTGCAAGCAGTCCATGGGCGGGGGATGTTGGTGGTATTAGCATGCATTGCTTTCTGAACCTCCTCCCGGTTCAAATAATCCTCCACGTAATACGCGCTGCACTCATCAAACTCCGTAATCTGTGATCGATCAACCGCGCATGCGTGCGCTAGTCAGTCAGTACTCAATATTTTCAGTCACATTATAATATTTTTGAAGATAATAGTAAAAATCGATGCATGGAGCGTACGTACTGAGAAAGGTAATGGCGCGGCAGTGGGGCCGTTGTAGAGCAGGCAGTCTTCGGCGTAGATGTTGTAAGGGAAGATGGGAGCGGTGGCGATGCTGAAATCCCTGTCGGCGGCAATGCATCGGTCGGTCTGGTCGTTGTTGAAATCGGAAGAAAAGTTGCAGTGTTTGTGAACGGCAGCCACCGATTCCGGGGACGCCATGCCGTGGTTTGCGTAGTAATCGTACATCCCGATGTTGTCCGTCTCATCATGTATCACCGCGTTCCCGATCTGATGATTATTATTATTATTAATTGCAGCTACCAATTACTACCCAATAACACTAATAATATATCTAGTGTTATTTATTTCTAAATAAACTGCATCTAACTTTTTCCCTTTCGATTTAATAATCTAGCTACTTGTCAACATGGGAGGAGGAACCACAGCTATATGACCTAGATACAAGATAGACAGCCAGAATCGCCTTTTTTGTATGTACAAATTTGAAATATATATGACACCACGAGGAAGTATATTTTATATTTAAGAATATTGTATACCCTAGCTCTTAGTGAATAAACATTATTTCCTAATTCTATAAATCCTAAATGCTAAAACTTAAAATCATATGTCTATTATGTTTGATATATATATTTCTAACAAATCAGAATCATCGATCATTGTTTCTAACTATATTGATCTTTTAAGTTATAGGATTTAAATAATTATGACCTTGGTTTTACTCATTATGATTTAGGGTATAACATCATTTCTCATCTCTAGTAAATCCATAGTCTAAATAATATTTTTCTTATTAAGAAGTAATATTCTCTTATTGATTACGTATAGAATGTATACAATATAAAAGCCCCATTCGATATCTATTGATGAATGGAACAACCTAACAAATGGGTCCATCAATGTATAGATATAATTGCGGGGACGCTGGAACGGAACCCACACAAAATGATTGTGTAAAATATTAGATTCCCCAAACAAACAAACAAACAAACTTAAGTAACGGTCAAATGATGATAGAAAATTGGCACCAGCTCATGCCCATGTGTTGTCTTCCTCTTATAACCAAATCAATTAGAAAAAGGGAAGAAAACAGAATAATTAATGGGAATGATTGAATCCTATCATGGATCGATCCAATACAGCGAAACGACGAAGCAACTATTCTTCATTTCATGGGCTACTTTCCAACGAATGATGATCAAATGGGCCGGTTCATTATTAAATTTAAACCTATTAATTTAATCACAAAAAAAAAAAAAAAGATTGAACATACCATAATACCCTTGAGGTTGATGGAAGTGTCGTGGGTTCTGAGGTTATTGAGAAGAATATTCCGAGCGAGTTGAGGGACGTAGTGACCCGCATAGCTCTCCCCGGCGATGTAGAAATCACGGCCTTTATATTCTGGGAACCTCTGCAGCCAATTCTGCAGAAAAACCAAGTTGTCCAGCGATGTATTCACGTCCCCAGTTGTGTAATCCGTGCTTGTATTCGAGTACGAGAAGCCAACCCCGGCCGGGGACTCCAGAAACACTACATTTGCGGCTGCATATACAAATCTAATCAATTAATTAACAACCAGATTAATCATATGCATATTTATATGAGATTAAGGAATTGACGATGACGATATAGTTACGTACCCCTGTTCCAAGCATATTTGTTTCTGTAGAGAGTTTTGGCGTCGCTAGCCACCCTGAATGGTCCCAGCTCCGTCATTGCCCCATATCCCAAAGACGAGCATCCAGGGCCTGTACGTACGTCTTAATTAATCAGTTTAATTAGCAGTGCTTTTCTACTAGCTAGTGCGTACATGAATAATGAAATCACATATACGAGAAGAAACAAACTAATTTTTACTGGCCCACTTATCAGAAGAATATATCTATCTATATTTTGAAGCTGTCTTCAAGAAAATAGTTCAACACATAATTATGAGTCAAAGATAGATACAATTACTGATAATAGCAATACAGGGAATCATCGTATCGTATGCTCCAGATACTCTTATTGAGATAAATTTATCGAAACCATAAATTAAATTGAGTTTGGAGCATGTTACTATAACCTAACTTGAATGGATAAATCCAAGGTCTCGATTCTCTAAACCCAAACCCGAAGTTCAATTTAGGAGAAAACAAGAATTGACCATAGAGATTGGCCAGAGCTCAGAACCATCGGTTATTATTTATTTAGATTAAATAAATCTTGTCGCTCGGGTTAGAGAATTAGGAACTGAGGTCCCACTCATTAGAGTTTAGGATATAATATCATGCCCCAAACTCCACTTAATTCGTGGTCTAAATAGTAAAACTCGACGGACGTATAGTAGTGTGAACACAGTACGCCTAACGTAAGCCTAGTCTGAACTATATATATATATATTTTTCAAACTAACCTCGAGAAAACTAGATGTAGGTTTGTTTGCACGTAATGATAACAATTGCAACACAATCATGATGTAGAAATTCATTAACAATGGCAGAAGGGTTGCTGCAGTAGTTATGGATGGGATGAATTATTAAATTAGCTACAGCGTCCAATCAATCGACCTATTGAATTGAAGCTTAGGCGCCGAGATATATCCTCCATGGGGTTTAAGATTGGTGGTCGCAATCCCCTTATGATTATGAAATAACAGCTGGCCATGTGATGTGAATATCTCTTCCTTCCTTCATTCCCATTACACTCCACGAAACCAATCATTTTCGATCCCCACCAATCAATAAGCCAGCTAGCTTCTGCCCTAGCTAATTCTTCTTTTTTCCTTAATACAAAAGGTTGAGTGATCACCTTCGTTACTTGTCTAAGTTTCAACTAACTAATGCGTTGATTCAGGGTTAGAGATCTCAACTAATCATCACGAAGAGATCTACTGACTTACTGGCCCGTCAAAACTCAAAAGTGAATGATATAACAACCTAATTAAATACCCTACGAAATTAACAAACAAATAATCACCTGAAAAAAAATGTATAATCGAGGTCAACTCGAAGGACATCTAAAATTAATTAATATAAGTGAATTAAATCAATCTACGCAGATCGCGGCCGCAATATACACTGCAGCACTACGACCCACATGCATGAAATATATATAATAATAAATAGAATGGAACGGACGCAAGTGCAAGTGCAAGTGCTTGCTTCCAACCTAGAGATAGATTTATGAACATATATATGTATAATATAATATAATATAATATAATATAATATAATGATTAAATAACAATTTATCTCCATTGAGCCAGAGAACGAGAGGCAATTGGTCCTTCTCCGGGTGCTGAGCCTCGGCCAAGTAGTAATACATGTTCCTGTCGTTCAAAGGGTCCACCTTAATATACCCGCCGTACTGCTTGAACGACACCAGCGGCTGTCCCGGCAACCGGACGATCAGGTCCGCCTCCTTCTTCCCTCCCGCTGCTTCTACCAGTACTCTAGAATCCATCTCCTCGGCCTTGAACTGCGACGTCTTAATCTCATTCCTCAGCTTCGCATGGAAAAGCTTTTTCAGCTTCTCCGCCTGACTCCGGCAATGCGCGGGCGCCGGGAGGAATGAACACGTAATTATCGCCACAAGGGAGACGACGACAAGCCACTTCATAATTTTCGACTCTATCCTTTTCTTTTCTTTTCGTGACGGGAAGAAATGAGAGAGAGGTGGTGGGACTGGGAGGAGGGGACTTTATAGGCTGAAATGCCACGCCGCAAATGACGGGAATATCCCTGCTGGGCCAAGGTGGCGGAGTTCATGATGACGGAAAGATTCCTTTTTCTAAGTTACCTGTGGGTCCAACGTCCCCTCCACCACCACGGCAGTTCAGATTGAGATATTCACATTACATACACAGTCACACACTATGGTGGTAGTCCATATGGGTATTATGGTGAGTAGAAAGAACTTCTTGTACTCGACTATGAGTCGTTTCTTTGATATTTGGATATTACTAAATTTCAGGATGTAACTATTTATTTGTTTGAATCACTTTATGATTATCTTTTGTCAAAAATAATAATAATAATACACACACTAGGGGTGGACATCCGGTTCGGTAAACTCGAACCGAACAGACCTGAATCGAAATAAAACCGAAGCAAAACCAAAATATTGTAATTCAATTCAGAATTCAGAAGACAAAACCTATAGGACTGGTTATACGGTCCGATCTGGTTAAATTGGATTAGAGAGATCCGGTTTTGGTCCGATCTTTTTGAGAATATGAGGGCCGAAGATTGGATTGGATACAGTTCGATTTGACCCGGTCCGGTCATGACTCAATCTGGTACCAATCCGGTCTTGAATTTAGATTGAGCTTGTGTGGGTTTGAGTGGGTTGAGGCTTAAAAGGGTGAGGAGTTGGTTAGATTTTGGGTGTTGGGCTCTCTTTCCCCGTCTTTATCCGGTTTCTGGTCCGGTCCTGAATGATTTTTTTACCTCAAATCTAAGCTCAAAAATGTGATTGGATTGTTTGTTATCCTGTCCCGGTTTGATTTTGGGTAAAACAAAAAAACCCAGACCAAATAGCCACCCCTAGCAAAACCCACTATTTCGGAACCCAGGGTCTGCAAACCAAACTCGAATTCTAAAGAACCAAACCGACCAACCGAATTAAATTAAATTAAATAATCCCACCCTCTTTCCCAAGCCCAACTAACTCCCCACCCTCTCCCCCAGCCCACCATTTATCAACACCAACCGAGCCCACCCACTATCAATCACCATTCACCAGCCCACATCATTGCTCCTAACCCTAATCCCATCCCTAACTGCCTCACCACTCTACTCAAGGCCTAGACCCAAGTGGCCAGCAGAGCAGCCAACCCCCTTTAAATCATGCGTCGTCGCAGATGCCATTCTGATTTCCCTTCTCTCTGTGCTCTTCTCCTTGCCTCACCTGCCATTCAATCCAAAAATTCAACCAAAACAAAATCTCATATTACTAAGGGGTCGTTTGGATGCAGTAAAATATTGAGGGAATTGTGCTAAATTCCCACACAATGCAGCAATTAAAATAAATTTCCATGTTTGGATGGGCCAAGTGAGTATGGTAATTGACCCATGTAATTTGGGCCACTTTCCCACCAACATTGCAATTAAAAAAATGGCACCCCCACCCCTGTATTTTATATTCCCACGTTCTCGTTACTTTTTCTTCCAATTGTAACCCTGCTAATTAATTGTAAACCCACAATTGTCCTTTTGTTGCTTTAGGTTTTAAGTGGCAGACGAGTTCATATATCATTCTCTCTTTCGGGTGTTATTTGCTTTGCTTCTCTGCGGCGATGAGCAGGAGAGGTTGGATCAGAAGTTGGAAAGGTTGGATCAAGACAGCGGCGACGAGCGGGTGAGGTTGGAAAGCGACGCTTCTATTTCAGGTAAACTTTATCTCCTTTGGATTTTTTCGTTCATAACGTTGGGTGTGTATGTTAGGGTTATCTCTAACATATTGCTGCTCCTACAGCAAACGATCTGATGAATGTCAAGTCAAGTTTTTCAATCTATTTTTATTAAAGAAAAAACGCTTATTATTGAGTTTTGTTTTTGGCCGATAAGGGTGTCAAGACTATCGATTTTGAGCCCACGGCGTAGGAGACAAGTGGTTGCGGCAGTTAGCTCTTTCATCAACCTTTTAATAATTTATGTTAGCCTAGGACAGGAACTAACCCAGCTTATTCAAGCAAGAAATGCAAACCGTAGACTTGCTAGGCAACCAATGGATAGCTACACAGTGAGGCATTACGATAGGCAAAGACATCTAGATCGTAGGATTAGAAGGTGTGATACTATATGTTTTTCCCTGGTTAGAATGGATCGGGCGTTATTCAATAGGTTCTGTGAGGTTCTTGCTGTTGAGGGACGGTTGAGAAGAACTAGAGACGTAAACATAGATGAAATGGTCTACACGTTTCTGTGCACAATTTCACACAACGAGAAGAACAGGACATTGGCAGTGAACTTACTACGATCTGGGGAGACCATATCGAGATCATTTCATCGGGTTTGAGGGCTGTCATTAGACTCAATAGTCGCTGGATGAAGAAGACTATTCCCATCGCTGACAACAACAACGACTATAGGTGGAAACACTTTAAGGTTCTGATTGCTTCATTATGAGATTTTAATACCCTGCCCTTAGTTTTTTCATTGGATTAAGACTTACAAAAGCATAATGTGTCAATTTCCTGTTTGCGTAGAATTGTCTTGGTGCTTTCGATGGAACACATGTGGACGTGCGTCCTAGAAGAGAGGACCAAACTAGGTTCAGGGATAGGACGAACCATCTTTCTATGAATGTGCTTGGCGTATGCACTCCTGATTTGGAGTTCATATATTGCTTGTCGGGTTGGGAAGGTTCAGCCCATGATGCAAGGGTTCTTCAAGATGCCCTTACCAGGCCTAATGGCCTTAGTGTGCCTGATGGTAAAAGGATGTATTCAAATCTTTTGAAGTTAGCTAAAGATAATAAATTTTTGCAACTTTTCTTTAACTCACAGATTGTCTATTTTATGAAGGGTGTTACTATTTGTGTGATGGTGGCTATGGGAATAGTACTGGCTTCTTAACCCCTTATCGTGGGGAGAAATACCATCTTAAAGAATGGGGACCAAGACGATCATCTATAGCTAAAGAGTATTATAATATGAAGCATGCGTCGGCTAGGAATGTGGTAGAGCGGATTTTTGGTATTTTAAAAATGCGGTGGGCTGTTCTTAGGGATTCTAGCTGGTTCTCCCCTATTGATATGGCTTGTATTGTAGTTGCTTGCACCATAATCCACAATTTCATTAAGAAGGAACGAGGGGCTGACAGATTTGAAAGGGAATATCAAGATCTTGAGCCAGAAGAAGAACAATGTGCCGCGAACGAGGTTGAGAACATTGCTCTAGATGACTTTCACGCTTGTCCTGCATGGACTCGATTTAGAGATGACTTGGCAAAGGATATGTGGGAGAATTGGCCTTTTAGACCTGCTGTTCCAATAGTTTGAGACCATCTAAATCGTGTTTTCTCCACTAGAAGTATATAGATAGCTATCTGTTCCAGTTGTTAAATCTGTTTTTAATGGAGAGGATGTAATTTGGCACAATATAGCTTGATGTTAAATCTGGTTATGTGTTATAGGCTACTAGTATGATGTGTGTAATGTTTAATTTTTAACTTTGATTACCTTTCCATTATTATATAAGATTACGAAATTGTGGTTGTGTTAAATCTGTTGCTTCTTTATTCGATGGTACTTGTTAGTTCCATTCTCTTCATAGGTATGGTGTCGAATATGTTTGTTGTGCAGATATGGTAAGGAAGAAGAAGGGGGTGGCAGATGGCAATGAGACATCTAGAGAGTACAACCACTGGGAGCCGAATCATGACAAGCCATTTGTCGAATGCTTGCTGGAACTAGTAGACCAAGGAAAGATCGAGGATGGTCAATGCAAGAATGGCGTTTACAAAGAGCTGAAGCGCATGATGGAAACGAGGGTACCTGGTTGTGGTATTAAGGCAAAACCAACCATAACAACAAGAATTAGAAAATTGAAGCATTGGTTCCATGCAACGATGACAATGAAGAAGGAGAGTGGATGGGGGTGGCATACTGTGGATAACCACGTCATCGTGCCTAACGATGTTTGGGAAGTATATGTCAAGGTATTTACTCTCATCTGCTGAATCATTAGGTTGTTGTTCCATATCCTGTCATATGTTCATTTATTGTTGCACTCTTGTATGGAAGAAGTTACAAGTCTTATCGCCATTTATTACAGTCTCTGTGCTTTGATGGATGTTGCTTGCATTGAATGTTGCTTGCAGACTCATCCAACCTTCAAAAATTATAGAGATACACCATTTCCAGAGTTTTGGGATTTGGTGTATGTGTTTGGTACAGGGCGGGCAACAGGTGAAATGGGGTTCCAGGGAGCTGATGGTAACCTCGTAGTCAGTTCTGATGATGATGTCGAGCCCACAGTCCCGTTATCCCAGATGAATACTCCTGTTGTAGATGAAGAAATGTTCAATATCATTAATAAAGGGGTTGAAACAGCTACTACTAAGGCATCAGGTAAAAGGAAGGTTCCAACATCAGCTCCAACAAGAAAGAAGAAGAAATTGAAAACAGATGATCTCATAGATGAAGCTGCATCAGATATGGTTGGGATGAGGCCATTAATAAGGGAATCAGTTGATACAATTGCTAGGGCCATGGGTGAGAGTGAGATGCATATAGAAATGAAGGCAAATCTTATGGATGCCCTAGGACAGATGGCTGGACTCACAAGGGCACAAATGGTGTTAGCTTCCAGGAGGCTTTGCAAGGATCCTAGGGATTTGAAGTGCTTCTATGACATGGAGGATGAGGAAGACAGGCTCACTCTTGTGCTTGACGTACTTGAGAAGTGAATGGAGTACTGACATATAACGATATATGTAAATGTGCATGGTAGAAGATCAAGACGTTGTCTAGTTTGCAAAGATTTGTTTGCTTTTTTTGTCTACTGTCATTGCTTCAGACTTACAATGACAGTCTTTGCAAACATAAGAAAACTGTATTTTGTAAAGCTTGATCAGCAGCTTAAGTATGTAAAGTGCAGCAACATGTATATAATGACAATGATGGAATTTGTTGTTTTTGGATGTAAAGTGCAGCTGAATGTATGTAATGACAATGATGGAATTTGTTGTTTTTGGATGTAAAGTGCAGCAGCATGTATGTAATGACAATGATGGAATTTGTAGCTCCAAGTTAGTTGGCATGTAATGAATGGTAGTTTGATAGTTGCCAACATCAGTTTTCTTTGCTCTAACAGAGGCAACCCCATAGCAGTTTAACAAAAACCAGCAACGCTAATTAGCAGTAGGCTTATGAAGCGGCAGTGTGCATTTCCAGAAGCAAGGTTAGAAGTTAGCATCTAAAAGTTAGTGGTACATCAACAAATCCAGTTAAGTTCATTTTATTGCTTCAGGATCCAATTACAGCAGCTTCAAATAAAACTTGATTACAATGAAAGGCAAAAGTATAGAAAAACCATTCACATATTCATTACAACTCTAAACTATCAACTACTTTAACAAGGTTCAACCTTTCACATTCAACCAAACTAAAGATATCATCACTCATAGAAGCCAAGATACTTCTCCACTCGAGACAATTTTCTTTCCATTGCCGCTACAACTTTGGAGTCCAATGAGACAGTACTAGTGTTGTTCGAACTACTTGAACTTGTTGGAATGACCAATGAACCATCCAGTTCACCGCTAAGTTTTAGAACAAGGGAATTCTTCTCAACCTCCAGCTCTTGAACTTTAATATGCAAATTGGCAATCAAATTGTACAATTCATCTTCTTTGCCACTCATATCAGTAGCAGCACACCATTCGAACAAGTCACAATATCCCTGTAAGCCAAAACACACCATAAATTCGTGCAGCCTTTCAAAATCAACAACCAAAATCTGCTTCTCTGATTGACATCAATTTATATAGACATTTATGTCACAATATTTGCCTAATTCACACAAACGAAATAGCAGTTAGGAGTCTTACACTTGATGGGTATTTCGGGCAAGAATAGAATTTTCGATTTGGGTTCTTTGGGGTCTTCGAAGTCCGAACAACAACTATTTTCCCACACCCACACAATTTTTCCTTCCTTTCGTTTGTGTCAGCCATCGACCTGTCAACCTTGCTGGGAGAGGCGATGGCCTTCTTTCTTCACTGCTGCTGCCTTTGTAGAACGAAGTTGTGGTAGTTTCTCGACGGGGAAGAAGCTGCAGGGGAAGACGAGTAGACATGAGAAGAGCTTTGAGGGAGGGGCGGAGGGCCAGGTGAGCAAATGATATGGGTCTTCGTGGGAAGAGGCAAAGCAAGAGAAGAGGGGAACCTTTTTCCATTCACTTTTGAGGATATTGTTGTACTTTCTCCCAAAAAGCATAAATACCACACCAGATTTCACACTCAATCAAACCATAGCCAAACGTAGGAATTTTGATCTAATTTCAGAAGCCAATTGCTAGGTTTTACAAACTGTGGTAATTTGAGTTAATTACCACATTTGTAGATTTCCACATCCAAACGACCCCTAAGTCTAGAAAAAATATGAATGAAAACAGAAACACAAACAAATACACAATCATATTTGTCAAGAAGTAGGGATTTGGATCTACTACTGCCTTGCATGACAACGGCTACATCGGCGGTGGCCGCTGCTGGTGGTACATGTGAGTTGTGACTTTCCCCTTTCATTGTCAATCACTATCATCCCTTCCCCCTTTGTTCTCGGTCGAGCTCCTCGAGACCAGAAACCCAATTACAAACATAAAGAATCCACATGCATCCAAATCTAAACAGAAGAAGAAGAAGAAGAAGAAGAAGAAGAAGAAGAACACGAAGAAGAAGGCGAGAAGGTGGGACGGGTTTGCCGCCTGCTGGGAGACCCTTGTTGCGATATCATCACCGTGGTGCTGCTTTCTCTCGACCTCTACCTCTGAGAAATATGCAGAGGAAAAACAGAGAGAAGGAGGAGAGGAAAGAGAGAAGTTGGGAGGGTATAGCAAATGACAAATGTTGGGTTTTGTCGAAAATGAGAATTTAGAAATAATGAGAAGCTTCGGTTTTGTTGGGTATGCCGGACCGAACATATATATATCTCGCTTGGCCAAACCAAACCGTGGTATATTTCGGTTTGGAAATGGTTTGCCTAGTTGGTGTTATAGGGGTATCGGTATGCTCTTGTTTGGTTCGGTTTGAATTGAACCGAACCAATACCCACCCCTATCACATAACAGGATTTTCCAAAACTTAGACCATCCTCAAATACCAATGTTATTTCCTTGATCATATCACTTTCATTTCCTCAACATCAATTAAATCCACTATCTATTTCATATGGTGGGCCTAATTCACATTTTTTAATACAACTAATCACTTTATCTAACGTAAATTATTTTACCAATTTAAGATGTATCACATAATTAAAATAATATATTGTTCAACCAAGACGTATCAAAGTTCGTTGGTTGCTATGAACAAGTCCAACATCGAAGAGAGAGTGGTATAAACGAGGAAGATAAAAGGAACAGAGCATTGAAGTTATTCTAGACTCTCACAGGTAAAAAATTATATTCATGCATGTTTGGAATGCTTTACAGGATGAGAAGAAGTGGTCTACTCAATCTAAATCCAAAGCAATTGATGGTAATGAAGATAATGGATCAAAGAGAAATAAACATACTACTTCAGGCCAATATACTTCATCATCCTCTAACACAAACATGTCTCCCGCCAGAGATGGCGAGGTTATGTCTCATTCTCTTCCTCTAGGGAGAAAAGCTTCAAAGGATAAAGGTAAAAAAAATCATCTATGTAATATGATTCAGTGGGAAGTATGAAAGCATAAGTGCCACAAAAAATCATTATTGAAACATGAAAGGTAGAGGTGATGAAAGAGTTCACGGCTGCAAAGGTAATACTAGAGGAGGAACGAGAAAGGAAGAAAGAAGCATACAAGTGATGAGGTCATCAATACCCAGCCTGCTCAAGAAGATGGTCCAATGACTCGTGCCAAGCTAAGGCTCTAAGGGAGCAAATTGCAAGTTATTTGGATCCACAATTGAAAGACATGAATGTAGAGTTGCTAGAAGGAGAGCCCATTACATTGCAACGATTTAGGACAAGAATGAAGAGAATATGGATCCGACCTAGAAAGGGGTTCTCATGGTGTGAAACGAATGAAACTGTGAATGGAATCCTAAGTGTGAACAAAAGGGGTGGATTTGAAGGCATGGAATAAGGAGAAGTTTGATTTAGTCTTTTACTTGTTTGTTAAGGATTTGTTTTCCTCTTTAGAGTAGGATTTTATTATCTTTTGTAGTTTGCTTTTTGGGTTCTTTTGCCCATTTGATGGGGCCAAACCATTATAATTGATTCATTCGGATTTTAGTTATTTTAGAGAGTGTTTACTCGTGTTCCTTTGTGAACGTTTACTTAAATTTTCTTTGAGGATTCGAGGGGTTTGAGAGTGTCTCTTATCAACTAGAAGATCACATCTAGTTGTCGGGAGTTCGACTATATCGATTGGCCATTCCCACAAGTTCGGGATTATTTGATCAATTCCCATCCTATCTTTATTTTTTGTATTATTCAAGAAAGGAGAAAACCCCAAAAGAGTTCGACGTGTGCAATTTTGATATATTAGTCCGAGTTCGAGGTTCTCTTCAAATTAAAGCCATATATTCACAAGAGTTACTGGGTGATTAGTGATTCTATTTATGCTTGAATAATTTATGTAGGTGTATTGTCATACGCATATTTGTTTTGTGTTACCGTTTAAGACTTGTATTCATGCACCATTTTATGTATGTTTAATGATTTTTTATTTAATTTGTATTTAAATGTAGTTATGAAATGTTTATATTCATATATGTGTATGTGTAGTTTATTTTCATATTGCGCTTTCTAAATTTAAAAAATTAGTTAATCAATAATTAATGAATTTATCTTTTTTTTTTGTCATAGAATAGTAAATAGATAGTTAGAGAACATCACACAACCAAACGCGCCAGTCGACAAATAGCCGAACTGCCGATAAAAGGGGCTGTTTAGACACTAAATGGGCAGCCCTGTTATATCTACGCGGAGTAAAGGTACACGATAAAGCGGAAAGAGCCGAAGCCGCGACTCGAATCTCCTCCAAAATTGCACCTCTCGTTCCATGCGCTACCTCCCGTAGGCGAACTCTTCGGATGAGCGTTTGGCAATAAGCACAGAAATTAACCACAGAGAAACTATGTGTTAGGCACCAATTGATAGCATCACGTAAAGCTAGTAGTTCCATCAGGAAGGGATCAAATATACATGGGTAAAACTTGCCGAATGCAAACACGAGATCGCCACCAGGAGAGAAGCCGGCAAAACCAATGCCACCGCCACAGTCTCGTAGCCAAGCTCCATCAAATCGCAAAAGCACACCACCAGTAGGGCAATGGCCATCTTGCTCCCGCCGGGAAGATATACTCTGACGCCCCAATTGCGGCCGGCGGCCCTGTTCATCCCTGTGAAGCGCAAGTGACAAGGAGGCAGCCCGCCACTCCTCAATCTGAGCCTGCAATTTACGAAACAGCGCGGAACCCCGATACTGGATGTGTCCATGAACTGCCCAGCACCGTGCTTTCCAAACCCTCCAACAAAGAAAGTGACGTTAGAAATATCAACTTTGGACAAGTTGCAGGAAAAGAACAAAGAGTTCCAGCATGATGCATGGTCTAAAGAGGCCAAGAGAGCCCCGCAGTAGGCCAAGTCCAGCAAGGCTCCATAACTCAACTGCAACACGACAATGGAAAAATGTGTGAACAATGGATTATACTCCCTCCTAGCACACCGGGCAAGTACTGTCCGTGGCAATTCGTTTTAACCCAAGGACCGCACAAACAGGGAGGAAACCGCGCACTACTCGCCATCAGAAGCATTTCAGTTTCGGTGGCAGCGAGAGATTCCACAAACACTTCCAAAACCGGCAATCATACGGCAGGGGAGGTGGCGGATACTGGATGCGCAGCTCTGTGGAAAGGAGTTGGTAACCCGTCTTAACTGTATACTTGCCCGAATCCGAGTAGTGCCAAATCAGTTTGTCTGGGACAAACTGCGACGGAAGTGGGATGGAGAGAATTAGGGCAACCGAATCCTCCATGAAAAGGGACTGCAAAAGATCAATCTTCCAGGAGTGAGAACTGTGACAAATTAATTATGAGACAAAAGATAGATTGAGGGTAACCCCTTGTGCCTATACGCCATCGCAAGCCTCGTGCTAGGAAATCTCGTCCCTCAAGAATTCCTTGCCATGCCCGGGAAGGGCGAGAACCATCCAGAGCATCAATGATCGACGTATTTGGGTGATACCGGGCTTTGTATAGGGTAGCCAACACGGAGTCCGGATTTTACGGAAGCCAATCCCACCTTCAAATTTACTATGACATACCTCCTACCAAGACAGCCAGTGAATTCCAACTTACTTATCTTGGTCCGCCCACCAGAAGTGAGACAGCTGACCATTTAACCTGCGACACGTGAACGAAGGAATACGGAAGGCAGACATAGCATAGATAGAGGAGGCTGAACCAATGGATTTAATTACCATTTCCTTTGCTGCAAGAGACATTGCCTTAGCTTTCCAGGAACCAATACGTCACGCCATGCCCTCCTCCAAAAACCGAAAGGTCTGGGTTTTGGATTGCTGAATGCAGACCGGTAAACCAAGATATTTGTCATTCACATTCAGTTCGGAGACCCCTAGGAAGGTAGCAAGGGCTGCCCGTTCCGGATGGCTCACATTCGCACTCACACAAATAGAAGATTTCTGCAGGTTAACTCGTTGGCCACTTACTAGACCATATTCATCAAAAATAGAGAGGAGATGGGTGCATTCGGAATTGAAGCACGTAGGAAAAGATAGGTATCATCAGCAAACATTAAATGAGAAGTCATAGGAGCACGCCGATGAATCTTGAGGCCATGTAACGAATTAGCATTGATTTCATGATTTAGCTTGGCAGAGAAA